CACAATGTGCTTTGAGGCAGCAGCCAAGAAAGGTGTAGTCTGCGTCTGTGAACACCCGTGTGTACACCTGTGTGCACACCTGTGTGGATCAGCATGCTTGTATTCCAAAGGTTTCTCCATGTAACGATCTGCTAGGGAGTGTGGGGAGCCATAGCCCCGTCCACCAGGGTATGAAGTAGGTATGGAGGAGATCCAGGCCCCAGATATCCAGAGGCCCCAGAGTACAAGGACCCGAGGAGGACCACCAAAAGGGGGGGAACCGTGCCACCCTCCTGGGAAGAGCTGAGTAGAGCCCCAAACGAGAGGTCACCCAGCAGCTACAGAGCAGAGGCCAGAGGGGGTTGCAGTGGCGTGCCTGCGGGCTCTGCCGGCAGCCAGCTGTGCCAGAGAGGACCGAGCTTCAGGCCCAGAGGCCTGAGGGCATCCCACCCCCCGGAAGGGGCCCAGCCGGGCCACAGGCGCCAGGCCCCGCCAATCGGCCACCAGAAGTGAGCCGGTACATACATGAGCGCCCAGCCCCAGACGACAAAAAGGGCAGTTTTGATTTTTGTGAGGGAGACACTCTCATGACTCGGGTGATGCCACTGACTAGTCAATCTTTGGTATACAGTAAGTTGACATTTTTGGATCCCTTGGAGTCCCAGCAGAGTTCAAATCAAATCAAAATTTATTCATATAGCACATTTAAAAACAACAATGTCAGTCAAAGTGCTTCACAAATTAAGAGCAAGTAAAGTAATTTACCAACAGTGAGACAACAGCAACACAAGACAAACATAGAAAAAAAAAAAAAAGTACTGCAAAAATATGTTACTTTTCTGAAAAGTAATGCAGTACATTACTTATTAATTACTCACTAAAGAAAACAATTTATTACACTACTCGTTACATTACTTTCATGATACTCTGAAACATGACCTCCAATGCATTGGGACTAGAACCATCTGAGAAGCCTCACTGTGATCGCAACTGTATAAAGATATACGTGTAGAAGTGGAGGCTACAATGATATAAGCCTGACTGCTCATCACTGTCTGTGGGAGATCAGCTGGTACGGGGTCAAGAACCAAAGTTGTGTTAGCAGCATAATGATGTCATTTCTGTCCTGGATGCAGTTTGCACTTTACCACAGGGCTGTTGTCCATTAAGGCAATAAAATAAAAGTAATGAATAAGAGTAAAAAGTTCAGTAAAGCAAGTAATAAATGTCCTTATCACAACTCATCAAAAGTTTGAGCATTTATTGTAGGAAAAGCGCACAGGAACAAACATGATTTTGATGTTTGTTCAGGTTTCTTTTGTCCCCGCCTGTGATGGCTGCCCTTATAGCCACACAGTGGTAATAGCCACCATGTTAGTGTAGAGGCTTATACATAACATTGCATTCACATTTGTCTGTCTTTAAATATAGGAATTAATTTACAGGACAATAAATAACTGGTTTTGGTTTTGAATTAATTCACATATCCACATAACACTGCATTCTTAAATAAGTGCGCACATTTTAGTTTACACTGTTATGTATGATTAATCTTTTGTTTTCTGAGTTACCTTAGTTGAAGCTGTTCCAGTCCCTTAATTAGGGAGCCAAGAGGTGGAAAAGGGGCGGAGCGAGCTTCAAAGGAAGACTGCAAATTGGTTCATGCCATAACTCGGGATCATGGGGAGGAATTGGAGTTCATTATGTTAGGTTTAGTTAGGTTTTGTGTGTTTTACCCCTTCTCGTGTTTTTTGTGGGCTGATCAGCCACTATTTAAGTTTCCCCTTTGTCACGTTGAGTTAGATTGCACAGATTGCACAGTCCTTCTTGCTCAGTGTTATAGAAGGAAAGTTTGGTTCTGCATACACTGACTAGTATGTAGTTTGTATCAGCGTAAACTAGCACAACTACCCACAGAGGATAGGCTAACCATGTTCTGTACAGGAGTGTGGATGTTAGCCAGTAAGGAAAGAAGCCTGCTGCTGTAGAGCTGCCAGCATCATCTACACTCAGCAAACCAATGTAGAACGCTTTCACAGTAAGAGGTAGCACACATTTCAGTGGTATTTCAAATAAAACCGGGTTATTGAAAAATGAAATTAATGGTTTCAGTTTCAAATGGCTCACAAGTGAATCACTGCAAAGATCATTTTAACCTCATCTGTTAGGTAAACAGTGAAAATTGAGCACACAGTGTTTTCTTGGTTATGTTAAGAGTGTTGTATTTTTTTTGTCCCACTTAGGTGCCAAGGAAATTAGTCAGCAGGAACATCTACGCTTTTGACACAGATTCTGTCTTAATCTGTCCGCTTGTTTATTTTCCACATAAACCTTTCACAATAAAGCTCAAGATCCTGTTGCAAAAAAAAAAAATGAATCATGTGAAAGAGTATGCAGAGTATTTAAGGATTAGAAGCAAAAAAGAGCCGCCAGGTGCTAAAAGATAAACCTTAGACTCAAACATTAGAACAGGCTTTTCCCCGCAGCATTCTGTGTAATAAATACTCACAAAGAAAACGGCAGCTGTTACAACTTATGTCTAAAAATGCATCGTTTCATGCATCGGTTAAAACACTTGACTCCAGGTACATGACGCCCAGCTGGAAACACTTCACGCAAGTCGAGCTGCCCGAGATTCACAGAATTTACAGAAAATGTTAAATTTTTGTGATTTATATCGTTATCGGGACGATAGATGTCTTATATTGGGATATGAGATTTTGGTCATATCGCACAGCCCTAGGTGTAAATATCAAAAACTATGACCATATGTGAGAACTCTACAGGAGAGTAAAACTAGAAAAAAAAAATTTACAGATAGGGGAAACTCAGGAGCAGCCATTTATATATTTAACACATGCTACCCATGTACGGACTACAAACTACTGCACAACACCCTGGCAATCATGTGCTGAAACTGGTCACAAACAAGGTGATGCAACGAAAACCTCCTTGTGACTGCTTTGGTCGCTACTAGATTTCCACTAAAACCCATAGTTTACATCAAAGACACTGACTTGTCAGGAGGGGCAAGTCAGGAAAGGCATCCAGCGTACAAATCAAGCCAAACATGCAGATTAACAAGAATGACATTCATATACTGGATCGCCCTGGGTTAAAAATGACTCCCTCGCATGCTGCTGCCAAACAGGGTTCCAGTGCAATGCACTTCTGACTAGGGCTGGGTGATATGGCCTAAAATCCATATCACGGTATAATTTGAAGCATGTGCGGTAACGATATATATCGCGATATATTCTTTTCTTCTGTACAACGTATTTTACACACTATAAGGCACACTTAAAATCCTTTAATTTTCTCAAAAATCGACAGTGTGCCTTATGTATGAATTCTGGTTGTGGTTACTGACCTGAAACCAATTTTATGCAGCACACGGCGCGCAGCAATCTGTCAAAAAATGTTCTAGTACGACTTTGGTAAGCTAAACATGATATGTCATGTTCTGACTGAGAGATTTCTGAAAAAATTAAAATGCACAGCTCTGCTCTTACTTCCAACATAAATGAAGAGAGAAAACTAAACAGCAGTGATGTTTGTAGAATTACTGAAGTTGGACTAGCTGGTGTTTAATGATGTCCTACGTGATTGCTAGCAAAACAGCTACATTAGCATAACATTAGCACAGTGAAGCTGAAGGATGAACGCTAACATTTTTCCATTTGATAAAAGTTAACGTAGGGTTTCTGGTGGTTAGGGACAAATGCAACTGCATGGCAGGATGCTATAAACGGACCAAACTTCAGTCAGGAGGACAACTGAGATAATCCATTCACAATACGAGGTTAGTCATTAACAGTATGTTAATGACTAACCTCGTATGCAAGAACATGGGAATAGAGCAGCTGCGAGAGAATTTAGCATTAATGAATCAATGGTACGGAAGTGGAGGAAGCAAAGTTTTTGGCTTTCCCCATATTCCAAAAGTGCGTCGTCTCTTTGCTATTACTGTCGCCCGGCATAATTTGCAGATGATATTGTTTGCAGCCGCTCCAATGCTTTCGACCAAAACAGGCGCCGCTTGGTGACACCATCAACACGTGCTATCGCGGTAGAGCGGTATAGTCAAAATCTCTACCGCTGGCCAAATTTATATCGTTTCTACCGTATACCGTTTATACCGCCTACTTCTGACCTAACAACACCGTCAGACAAAACACCCAAACACAAGCTACAAATTCATAGAATCATCTCAACAGGACAAGGCTCAGCTGTACATCTGCATCTAAAGGATAAAGGTCACTCTTTCCAGAATGCCAATGTTCGCATTTTGGACAGAGAAGTAAGGTTTGAGAGAAGTAAAGGAGCCTCATATAGAAGCTATGAGCCACCTACAGTGCAGTCTTAAGATCCCTTTTCTGGCATTTTGACCCCACTCATAACTTGCTTCAGGCGACCTTAATAGCTCACATGATGGCGGGGTGTGGCAATGTCTCACAGAGGTTTGACTCATTGGACCTGGAGACAAAAATGACATCCTTTTAAATACTTTGGCTCATTTGAGAACTCACATGCTCAACAGTAGGTCAATAGTAGTCAACAACCCTTCAGAGACATTCTCCAAAGGGGTGCAACCATACTAAGAGTTAAGTAGCTGGCCCACTCAGCTTGTTGTTTTAGATCTGAAGAAGCCTGTTGGATGAGAGGTGAAAACTCTTCATAAACCTGAAGTGCAGCGGCCTTCGTTTTTCAAGTTCTCAAGACTACCATGACCTGGATAACTAAAAACCTGGACAGACATTCTTTTCAACATACATACTGTAAATCAAAGCCCAAGTGATTCATGTGTTCTGGTGTAATGGAAATACTGAGCAAAGCAGCTGATTCATGTTTACATTCACTGAACAACAATCTGTTTGTTCTACATATTTTGGATGCATATGGAAACAGAGGCAATGTTTGAACATTTAAATATGATGCAGATCCACTCTAAAATGAACCCAGAGAACTTAAGATGGTTTTATATGAGGTAACAGCTGTTTATCCAGTGTGGCATCTCTTACTTGATGCAGGGTACATTCTCTCTGAGGAACTCTCTGGGTCCGGCACATTCTATATCATCGAGTGCAGTGCAGAAAACCCGTGTGTGGTTCACCTCTTTTTGGGTCTGGCCACCCCACTAGGCAGAGATAAAAGGCGCAAAGTCAGACATGTTCTCGATTACTCAACACTAACTAACAGTACAATGTCCTAAACACCAACAATACCTACCCCGATGCAACCAACATGTTCCATCTCCTGATAGGCAGTGTAGTTGCCCGCGTGATCCACAGGGTCTTGACAGTAGATGAATTCCTCCGGTCTTCACCACACATTGAATTTAGAAAGAAAGCAAAAGACACAGAGGTATAGTTCAAAGAAACTACGGTGTGTAGTCAAGCCAAACTGAAATGTGTAAAGACAGCCCGAGTTTTGAAGATATTATATTGTAATCTATGAACAAATGTTTTTCTAACCAAAAATAAGTTTGGGGTGGGAAATGCGGTGCTTCCAGTTCAGTGTTACTGGTGCGTAAGTAGGTATGAAGTGACATATTTATAAACGTAGTCCTGTGTCAGTTTAGAGTTAGCATTGCCCAATGCTAACATGCTAATAGCTACTTCCAGTTAACAGCATCTGAGTTACTTACAGATAACTGCAGAGGACAACGGGTGACGGAGGTTTGTACTCGAGATCCGTATAGTTTGCACTGTCGGGCGGTTCGCTGGAGGGGAGCAAAGTAGAAACCGGACCGGGAGAAGAAGCAGGAGTCTCCGTTGTCGTCGAATTTTGCGAGTGGATTCCTTCCAAACATTGTAACAATATGGCCGTTAATAGCAGCAGGAACTGTCCGCACATCAGAATATAGCTGACCGAAATCATTGTCAACTCCAAATACTACTAAGCTATTTCTCAAAGCTGTTCATGGTAACATTTGGCTAGCCACATTCAGCTAAAGATGTTTGTTTGGATCTCGATGGCCGTCTCGTGTGAATGGCGTCATCAATGAGCGTCGGAGATGAAAGTCGTTTCCGTTGAGCTACTTTTTTTTTTTAAATCAAATTGGCTTC